TAATTTTACTTTGGTATTTTTATACGCAAAATAATTAAGAAAATCAAATTATGTAAAAAAATCATATATTTCCGTTAAAAAAATTGACGGTAGAAAAAGAATGATGTATATATCATCTGAACTAATCAAACTATCATCTTTAAAGGCTTGCCGAAGTTTCTTATTTCAAATCACTGTGTATGCGTTAATTGCCAGTAGGCATAGCAGTACGATAAACTTTTTCTTAACGCCATCAACCGCAACGGCTCATCGTCTAGTAGTTCCGTCTTGTTGTTTGCCTAAGAACATTCGTGTGCTATTCGCTTTGTCGAGAAGTGAATCGCGAAACTATAAACACTGTGTTCAGTTTGTGTTAGCTTTATCATCCAAACCGTCATCATATTTTTCAGCTTAAAATCAATCATAATTGTTATAAATAACGGTGTTATTAACAATGTGTTGAAAAAAAGTGTGCGATAAATCAATCTTTTCTCTCGCTTACACCCTTGATAAATGTGTAATTACATTGTGTTAATAACTCGCTGTTATTCTGATCTTTCTTAGTCTAAAATTTTATTAAATAAGATTATTCACGAGTTCCATGTCATTTCTATATCATTATCACAGGAGGTAATATTTGTTTTTCTCATCAAACAACACTCCTCACTTGTGTCACATTGTTTAATTACTTTTCCTTTATCTCTTACAATTAGAAATTAATAGAGGTATAATGTTTGACCCAACTAGCCAAGTTTTATTGCTCAAAACAACGCTACGTTTTGACCGTAGATTCCGGTCCTTTTCAAACGTATGTACTCACAAATATTGATTGGTCAGACAGTTTGGACATTATGTCTGACCAATCAATATTTGTGAGTACATACGCTTGAAAAGGACCGGAATCTACGGTCGAAACGTAGCGTTGTTTTGAGCAATAAAACTTGGCCAGTTGGATCGAACATTATATCTCTATTAATTTTTAATTATTCACTGGCGACTCAAGCTCTCTTGTTGTGTTTCTTACAATTAGACCAATCGTGTCTTTTTTAGCTACAACGTAACTATGATTTTGTGTAAATAAACAAAACTGGCTGTGATCCAAAATTCACTCTATCAATGCTGAAAATCTTTATCTGCATGCAATATAAAGATTTTTTTGCGTACATTGCGCATTATCAGTCACGCGACTCACTGACGTACGCCCGGCTAAAAAACGGCACTGACAATGAGTGGATTGACTTTACTCAATAATTACTGCTTTATTATATAAGCATGACAGAAAAAAATGGTTTAGGACTTTTCGACTCAATTTTTGATAAGGAATAGCGTTATGTAATTAATGTTATGTAATTTAAGAAACACCCTATAAACGTGTATATGTAAATAAATGAGCAAAACGAAATAAGAGAATGTTTTTTTTATAAGTTTGCTTATCCAATACAAACCGGTTGAAATAAAAACCGGTTAATCAAGTAACCATAATACCGTACAATTCTTATTAATGATTACATAATAATGAAATTCTCGAGTAGTAATCGTAAATATAAAAATGACATCAGAACGATTAGCCAAGGACTTTCGAAAAAACTTACATCCCGGAACTTAAGCATGCCAGATTACACATTAATTGCGACGATCATAATTCAAGTGCAACGGCATTACATAAGGATAATGATGTTAAGAGCCATATGGTTTATAGCTGAGAAGATGAAAGATTACCTTATATCTGATTGAATTATCCTCGACGGAATATCATTCGACGGAAATGAGGAGCTACGAATACACAATGTTATTCTGCTAATTGCAAGTGGAGAGAAAACCCACATTGAACAAGTTTTATACTCGTTTGCGTCCACATCGTTCCTAATGGTCGCCACGTATATCGTCTACAAAGCCTGTCATTTTCAATCTAATGAATCTGCACGACTTACAATTAATGCCATATTACATTATATGTCTGACGCGTATTGCATGGTAACGCATCCGATGTCATGAGAACGGATTTCTGACTTCGTATGCATCGTAACGGTACATATGTAGAACTAGATTTTTCGTCCGCGCTTCGCGCGGGCTCAAAATCTATCTTCTCCCCAAACTCACCCATTAATAAGAAGCACCAATAGAACCCCATAAAACCCAATTTTCAACTCCATAGTAGCAATCCCCATAAAATTAGTAATCTTTTGGTACCAGTTTCAACAACAAAAAATTAAAAAAAATTTGGCACCGTTTTCAAGAAAATCGATCCATTAATAAAGAATTATCCATTAATAAAAAATTAAACTTATTTTTCAAAAATTAAAAAAATGTTGGCACTGGTTTCAAGAAAATCGGTCAATTAATACTTATTATTTCTCGAAATTTTAATAATTTCCAAACCGGTTTCTAAAAAATCGGTAACAAAAAATTATCCATAAAAGAAATTCAGCTTGATATCTCAAAGTTTACGGAAATTGGAGCAATCACGTACATTTTTTTTAAACAGAAATCGGAAACCCTTTACTATTAGCAATTTTTTTAATTCTATTACATTCTTTAGTTCTTTCTAATCCTATTTCATATATAATTCTTTAAGATTCAGTCAATTATTTCCCGAAAAATTGGAAAAATTTTGGAACCGGTTTCTAAAAAATTGGTAATAAAAAATTATATATTTTATGGCAATTCCCGGAAAGTTCTACTTCTATTTCATATAAAATTCTTTAAAATTCGGTCCATTAACGAATGAGTAGTTCGCGGACAGACAGACAAACAATCGGGTTTTATATTATAAGTATGTTTTTGGCACCAGTTTTAAGAAAATCAATACATTAATAAAAAATTAAATTTTTAGCACCAGTTTCAAGAAAATCAATACATTAACGGAAAATTACCCATAAAAATTATCAATAAAAAAATAAACTGGCACAGTAACAACTGTGCCGCCAGCCGCACAACGTAGAACTACGTCAACTGTCACTATTTTATGTTAAAGTATTCAGCGAAGGAAAATAGACGTAGGGCAATTCCCGGAAAGTGTTCTACCCCTATTTCATATATAATTCTTTCAGATTCGGTCAATTATTTCCCGAATAATTGAAAAAATTTCTGAACCGGTTTCCAAAAAGATCGGTAACGAAAAATAATACACTTTATAGCACTCCCCAGAAAATTCTACCTTTACTTCATGTACAATTCTTTGAGATTCAGTCAATTAATTTTCGAAAAATTGGATAAATTTCTGATACCGATTTCCCCAAAGATTGGTAATGAAAAATTATACACTTTATGGCATTCCCCTAAAAATTCTACACCTACTTCATAAAAAAATTAAAAAAAACCGGTTTTCAGAAAATCGGTAACAAAAAACTATACACTTTATGGCACTCCCCGGGAAATTCTACCCCTACTTCATATACTTTTGGTAAAAATTCGGTCCACTAACGAATGAGTAGTTCGCGGTCAGACATACATACATACAGACGGTACTTATATATATACTAGCTTTTCGGCCCGCGCTTCGCGCGGGTATAAATCTATCTGTATATTAATTATATATGCTTTAAATTTACCCATTAATTTGAAACACTAAATTTGTTATTTTTTCTTCTTAAACTGTAATCTACATCTTCGTTTTTTTTTAGATTCAACCTTTATTTTACTCTCAGTTTAATACTAATTTTTAATTTAAATACATTTTTTTTTATTTTTTAAAAGTTTTAATTTTTCATCGTGAATTTTTTAATATCCGTAAATTTTGAGATATGGGTTTTTTTTTTTTTCGTTAGTGGAGAAAAATGCCTAATGCATACCCTAGGACCGGTCCCTAGGGTTATGCCGGACTTGCACCGGCTAAAAACCTCCCCCGGCCCCCACCCTCGATATAAATAGCAGCTTTGTTACAAAATTTCTCGATATACAACATTTTTTGTAAAAGATTTTGAATTTCCCTCAATAAGTTGTCTTTGATTGCTGTTTTCATCGATCTTAATTTTGACATTATCTGTACACTTTATAGCAATCCCGGGGAAATTCTACCTTTATTTCATATGTAATTCTTTAAAATTCAATTATTTTCCAAGAAATTGGAAAAATTTTGTAACCGGTTTCCAAAAAAATCGGTAACAAAAAATAATACATTTTATAGCACTCCCCGATTCTACTTCTGTTTCATAAATTCTACCTCTGTTTCATATATCAGACAGACAGACGTCCGGTACTTATATATATAAATCAAGAAAATCAATTCATTAATGAAAAATTATCCATTAATAAAAAATTAAACTTATCCTCCAACAATTAAAAAAATTTTGACACGACTGCTATTTCATATATAATTCTTTAAGATTTGGTCAATTAATTCTCGAAAAATTTCAAAAAATTTGTAACCGGTTTCCAAAAAAATCGGTAACGAAAAATTATACATTTTATAGCAATCCCGGGGAAATTCTACCTTTATTTCATATGTAATTCTTTAAGATTCAATTATTTTTCGAGAAATTGGGAAAATTTTGTAACCGGTTTCCAAAAAGATCGGTAACGAAAAATAATACACTTTATATCACTCCCCAGAAAATTCTACCTCTACTTCATATACAATTGTTTGAAATTCGGTCAATTAATTTCCGAAAAATTGGAAAATTTTCTGATACCGATTTCCCCAAAAATCGGTAACGAAAAATTATATATTTTATGGCAATCTCCGGGAAATTCTACCCCTACTTCATATAATTTTTTAAGATTCGGTCAATTAATTTCCGAAAAATTGGAAAAATTTTGTAACCGGTTTCCAAAAAGATCGGTAACGAAAAATTATACACTTTATAGCACTCCCCGGAAAATTCTACCTCTGTTTCATATATAATTCTTTTAAATTCGGTCGATTATTTCCCGAAAAATTAGAAAAATTAGAAAAATCGGTTTCCAGAAAATCGGTAACGAAAAACTATACACTTTATGGCACTCCCCGGGAAATTCTACCCCTATTTCATGTACCCTTGATAAAAATTCGGTCCACTAACGAATGAGTAGTTCGCGGTCAGACAGACAGACAGACAGACAGACAGACAGACAGACAGACGTCCGGTACTTATATATATAGATAGATTAGAATGACATGATTGCTTCTTAATATCCGTCACTATATTATAAGCGAAAGGACTGCGCATTATCCTGAGACGAAGTTTTGAAATTAGTATCTGTACGTGTGAAACTTTCGTCCTTCGTTTGTAATTAATCATTCATCATGGTTTCTTGCTTTTTAAAAGAATTATCTTGTATTTTACATACGCTAAAGATGTTGCTTTCAAAGAAGCCAAAATCTCTTTTTGTCGCTTTGTCACCATTCACAGCCGACCGAGAACTTTATCTGGTCGAGGTACTTTACCTTTTTCAGTCATCGACGTCATCGATTTTCCCAACACACGTTCGCATGCCCATTCAAAAATCAGGTTCATTCTTTGCTCCTCATACAAAACCGTTGCAGAATACAATTATTACTCTCGTTTCTGTTTCAATTGGCTGTTATGTTATATTGGCTGTTAGACATTTAGGAGCCAGAAGCCAAACTGGATCAATAGTTTAACGATGTGTCCACCAAATATTGTACTTTGGTGTTTCGTACTTCTACTTGTCGCTTCGTTCTCGAAGTCTCAGATAAATTCTACGAATGGCGATGAGCGGAGTGACAACTCGATGGTGCGATACCATCCTCTCATAAATTCTGTGAAATACTTCAAATACCGAAATGACGAGATGGAGTCAACACAGTGCAATTCATGTAAAAATTCTATCAAGAATGGCGACGAGATGCAATATGAGTCCCGTGTTAATTCTACAAAGAACGCGGATCGTAAGAATGATGATTCGATGTGGTACGAGTCTCGAGAACATATCATAAAAAATCGCGAACAGAGTAATCAGATGTCTATGGAGTCCTACGCGAATTCTACAGAGATCAACGTTACAGACTCCACGTTACAAAAAGAAGAAAATCTCACGAAGGTTGAAAGCGAGAGCGATTCCACGCCGAACGAACTCTATGGAAATTCTACTACAGACGACTATGATAATACTACGGCCGTCATTGTTCCATACAAAGCGTGTGACAACGTTACTTGTATTCAGCTCTGTTGTCCTTTTGGTGATAACCTAACGTCGCGGGGGAAATGCGTCGCTGACGGGCCGGGTAATTATTCCTTCCCAAGGGTATTTGCATACAATTTCAAGGGTAAAAGGCTGAACGAACTATTTCGACTGACTGTCCACGATCCGTGCGTTCTACAAGGATTAGAACGCGGTCAGCTTAATTATCATGGATATGTGTTCCTCAACAATGGCTCTTTATACCTGGGCCCTGACACTCCACTCATTTTACCGACATCTTACTGCGTTGCCATCTTGCAGCGGAACATTTACGACACGATCGTATGCACTAATCAGATTAAAGTTCCGATATATATATCTGCGTGCCTTCTAATATCTTTGCCGTTTCTACTGTTGACATTCATTGTATATTCCATATTGCCAGAGCTTCAGAATATGCATGGTTACACATTGCGCGCACATGTTGCCTCATTGTTCGTTACGTACGCGATTATGTATTTTGGCCAACAAAATTTTGAACTATCTGAATGGAGATATTGCGTTCCACTGGGTACAGATGCATAAATTCTACATATATAATAATACAGCAATGCCTTTATATATACATATAACTAATAATTAAACTATTAGATGTATCCGCGCACATTTGTTTCTTTCTAATAACTTAATAAAATAAAAATTTTTAAATTTTTAAAAGCAAATAATAGATAATGTTTAACCCTCCGTCTGTATACGTGGGTCTACCGCGGTGTCCGAGCCAAAATGATATCTGCTCATAACTGTAAAACTTGCAAGCCTGCCAGAAAATATTGAATAAACAATGTTTATCAAAATAACTATAAAATCGTTAACTACAACGTAAGCAGATGTTTTGTGAATTTTTTCAGATTTTCTAAAATACTTTAAGATAAGGAAAAATAGCGTCAAACATGATAGACACTCCGAGGGTGCAAAAAAAAACGTATACAGACGGATTTTTTGTACATACACAAATACATATATCTGACCTTCCTGTAAATAATTTTCTGGTCTTTCTAAACGAAAATTATACGATAAAGCATTTAATTCGGCATGCCATTTGTTTTAAATTTATTTATTTATTTTTTTTTTCAAATTTGCAATGCAGGAAGATTAAGAAAATCTCACAGACAGATATCATATTTTTATATAAACCTGATCGACATTCTAATATATACGTGCTTGACGATTTTAACACATTATTTACTTAATTATTCCAGCCTATATTTTCAATTTCTCGTTTTTGTCGACCTTCTTTTGGTTAAACGTAACGTGCTTCGATATTTGGTGGACATTCAGGTAAACAATAATTCGAGTTTTATTATATACTATATAGTGTGCAAGTACAGCACCGGTAAAAAATATTGCATGGCTATTATGGAAAGGAAAGTCGTTATATTTTAATAAAGAAACCATACATAAATGTTATAAAATTTTATTTAGGTACCGTTATTTTATAGGAATACTTTGAGGAAAAACAAAGATCTTAATGATTTAATTGATGTTAAATATATATAATTATACCGTTTAACAAAAAAAAGCACAAGAACGAAACTTGTGGCATCCGATAGTTTTTTTAACAGATCCCGTTTGCTAAATTGCTAGCGAGCACGTCACAATTCTGAGAAATTTACAGTTAAAATTGCAGAAATGGGCTATTTTAATGTATTTTGGCATATTACAACTACAATATGTGACGTTGGAGAAGTTTAATTGCAATCATTAAGATTTTTGTTTTTTTCTCAAATTATTCCTATCAATTTTATACTAATATTTTATTCAATTTATACTATATTACTATACTATATTATTTATACTATATGCAAGTATATCACAATATTCAGTTTTACTGAAGAGCAAAAGATGATTTTAATGACTTCCGAATTTCTTAAATGACTTGAAACAAAAAATATTCAAATAATTAAATTGGTCAAATCAAAAACTTTGTGAAAAGAAACACGTTCTCGCTTTTAAAATAGGATAATTTGATCACTTATGTACAAACCAGCCAACCATTCTAAATATCCATATTATAAATATTAATATATTTCATATACAATCATTGATACATATCTCATATACATTTATATTTTTACGATTATTATATGGTTATTTACGGTTATATAATAAGGTATTTTTGTTTTCAAACACATATGTTGGAAGATAATTTGTTATTGGCTAAATATAAATCGCATTTCACAGAGGACTCCGTTCGCATCAAACTAACATGAAGCAAGACAAAAAGAGGTTCGTAATGTATTCGCTCTACGCGTGGGGAATAACCTTTATCCTAAACGTTATATGTGCCATCATGGATTATGCTCCCGGAATACCAGAAAGCTATATCCGACCGGAAATGTGCAAGATACAATTTTGGTTCAGTGGTAAGTGACATCAGCAATGGCATCCTTATTAATGCTAATGGAACATTTAACTGAAGTTTGAATTTAAGGATGTTTTACCTATAGCTATATGTAGTATAATTTTGTTTTCTTGATTAAAGACTTTACATGTATGTCAAACAACTCAAAATTTTTTGTATGTAGAAGGGATTACCGTTAACAGTTTGAGTATAATTTTTTGTTATTTAAATAATTAGTATTGTTTAAACAATTAAAAAAATTTTTTTGTGACAAAAAATTTTGAAACTTAAAATACAATATCAATGATGTATGTTTTACACAAAAAAAGTTTAAGAAATATCTTAATGGTTTATTTATATTTTATTTATATTTACAGCAAAGTGTCGATTCTCTATAAGGGATAATGTTAATTTTATCAACTTTAAAATTAAATAACTCTCAAATAACTTCAAAATTTTACAGAGTGTTTTTAATTTAATTTAAAAACAATTTACAACACTTTCTGAATATATTTGAAATACCTCCAATACATCCTTAATTACAATAACTTTTAAACCAGTAAGAGAATTGTGCTGAAATTTTACACAGATACTTAGACATAATAATAGAACAATCTATGAAATTTTTAGATTTTTGGTAATGCTTTGAGATGTTACACATACATCCTTAACAACTTTCAATAAAAATAATAGAACACATGTCTACACTAGCGTGTAATATAAAGAATTTGTTTCAGATAAAGATGCAAAAACGTTATATTTTTACATACCCATGGGTGCTACTATCATCAGTAACATTTGTTTCTTCATTGCTACAACGCTAACGATTCTGTACCAGAATATACGTACAGCCCATCAACTGAGAGATGCGGAAAGCAGACGTCACAATGAAAATAAGCAGAGGTTCGTCGATAGAATTAATGTCAGTCAAATGCATTCACATTTACAAAAAAAAAAACACCACAATACGCAATTCACTGATACTTCCCATCCTTAAGCAAAAGATAAAGTTATTATTTCATATAGGTATATTATTATCAAGATCGTATGTAAAGCATCATACATGACATTCTTGCAGTATCATTATAATGATATCATGTGCTGTTATAGAAGATTATACGGTATTTCTTTACGCTAATTTGTACCAATTAATAGTCGCCCTCCCCCCTTCGCTCAAGCTTCTCATCGCACTTCGTATGTATTCTTATAGAAAACTAGCTTGATGATTTTATACGTGCTCATATGCGTGTTTAGGGGATGAAACACTCCTTTGAAGAAAATCGGTTTTTCTCTTTCGGGCCGAATACCTCCAAAACTATAAAAGATAGAAAACAACTTTTTAAACAAAAATTAAATGGTTTAAAGAACACTTTAAAATAATGACAAAATAAATTTTTGGTAATTATGTAGTAATACGGACCACCCTCCGATGACCTTGACCTTGACATATGTTGTCAAGGTCACCCTCCTGAGTGACCTTCGGAAGGTTTTGCCGTCGCTCGTTATTCGTTAAAAAGTTATTAACAAGAAAAGTTTCAAAAATATAGCAGTTATTAAGAGGCATAAATGACTAATATTACGTCTCTTTTTTTTTAAGTAAAGAATATCTCGTTTCGCGTGAAAGTTGCTGTTTTACCAAAACACAACATTTAAAACAGTAAATTGTTGATAAATTGAAGTCTTTTTGTTAAGGGGCTTCCCTATTATAGTGTGACAGGGCCTAAAAATGAATGATTTTTAAAAGGAAAACGACAAGCCAATTGATGAACAACTTTTCCCACATATTTTACTATATTTCAAGAGTGCATACAAATTTTTTCAAAATTATCTGTTATTAAAGCCCCTGCCAGCCATTTTTTTGGAGCGCCGCGAAAAAACGGTGACCACGATTGCAGCCGTTGTAGTTATCTGAAACAAAAAAGTAAAAGGATTCTTAATCTACTTGAGTGTGGCTATCGTCTGAAGCAGAATCATGAGAAAATATTGAAAATTTTAAAAATTATAGCTAAAAAACGTCTGCTAAAAAAGACGAAAATAATTATAATCGCTATAATTTTTTAAATTTTCAATATTTTTTCATGATTCAGCTGAATTTTTTTATAGATAATTTTTTTATGGATAATTTTTATGAATAATTTTTTATTACCAATTTTTTAGAAACCGGTTTGGAAATTATTCAAATTTCGAGAAATAATGAGTATTAATTGACCAATTTTCTTGAAACCAGTGCCAAAATTTTTTTAATTTTTGGAGGATAAGTTTAATTTTTTATTAATGGATCGATTTTCTTGAAACCGGTACCAAAATTTTTCTAATCTTTTGTTGATGATTTTGATAAAACTGGTACCAAAATATTACTAATAGTCCGGGAGCCAGCTGCCATTTTTTATGACCAAAATTAAGAAACCTAAGATTTTGCTGTATGGTTCATTTAGTATATTGCTACTAAACAAAGTGAACGTCAGCTTGCGCATTTGCGGTACGTGTTGCCGCAGCAGCCACCCACACATGTATAATTATAATAAAAAAAACAGACATAAAGAAAGCTAAGACTTTGTTTGTACGTTTATTATGATCTAAATAAACGGAAAATAGTAGTCAGGTGACTTCATGGTGGGGGGTTGTACGTCAGCTTCCCGCCCAAAACATGCGAAAAATATGCGCTGAGTAAACTTATATTAAGAAAGCTGAAATTTGGGGAAGTGATAGTCGACTTTAACAGTTTCACGAAAATAATTGTCCGCTGAGCTTTTCGTGGTGGAAAAGTGCTCAGCTGACGACTGAAAGATACGGCGCATCGCTATGCGCGCGGGCGCGTGGCATCCTTTACTGCATCAGCTGAGCACTTTTCCACTGCGAAAACCTCAGCGGACAATTATTTTTGTGTAACTGTTACAGATAACTATAAGTTTACAAATTTCTTGGTTTCAGATAACTTGATTTTTATTAATAAAATAGTGCATATATGCGCGCGGACGCGTTGCGCCTATCGCACTCAGCTGCTTATCTCTGACGCTCAATTATACCCTTAAATATGTATACATGACAATATAAACAGTAAATACGTATATATAATATTATAAATAATAAACATTTACACATGCAAATGCCAGAAGTAAATATTTATAGATACAGAGATGTATTTCCTCGTCTCGGCTACACGCTCATAAACACCGGGTTTTATGATCAAATACAATTGTAGCCCAGCTGACTAAGAGGATCGTCGCTACAGGTATATCCGTAAACGGTTTATAGTTTGAAAGACTCTCTTTTGCTTCCACCACAACGTCCCTGGGTCCGGCGGCGACTACCTGGACAACGATGACATATTTCGTCTGCCAGCAAAAAATATAGACGGGTCAGCTCTACCGCCTTGCAAAATCGAACTGCACCAACATTTGCTTCGGACGACGTACATCGCTAATATTTGGGCCCATGCACATCTTGCTGTTCCAACTGAATTGCACCCGACTGATTACGGCTGGAGAGAAGAGGACAACAAATTTTTGTTCAAATAGTTCGACGGCGATCAGCAACCCCCTTCTCTTGGCGATATTACCATCGAGGAAGAAAAAGAAAGTACTGCAGGTCAGAATTATACTTCACTATTTCTTTATTCAAGTGTAATTTTTAGATTAGTTTTGTTTTTAATTTAAAAATACAGTTTAGAAACAATTAAAACAATTTTTTATTATAACAAGAACACTTTTTATAAATAATATTCTAATTAATTTCAAAATTTTGCTCTTGCGTTATTATATTATTATATTATATATGTATTAAAATTATAAAACTAAAACTTTTTTATGCGATTATTTTTTATGTAATAATATATTATTTATTATATTTGCTTACAGATGATGAGGATCGGACGCCGATGATCGATATGGATTACAGCGACCACGAAAGCGAGCAAGAGTTTGAGGGCGATGATGAGGAAGACTGAAGAGTAAATGTCTCATACCTCATACGTATTTAAAAAAAAAAAAACGTAAATAAAAAATTATTTTTGTCTTTGTCAATAAATGCGTTAAATATAATTACATATTTGAATATAATCAATAGCATAATTTAGCGTGAGAGAGAAGCAGCTGATGCCGTGAGATAGGCGCAACGCGCCCGCGCGCATATATATACGCACCGTTTCATTAATAAAAATCAAGTTATCTGAAACCAAGAAAGCTAAAACTTTGTAAACTTATAGTTATCTGTAACAGTTACACGAAAATAATTGTCCGCTGAGGTTTTCGCAGTGGAAAAGTGCTCAGCTGATGCAGTGAAGGATGCCACGCGCCCGCGCGCATAGCGATGCCGTATCTTTCAGTCGTCAGCTGAGCACTTTTCCACCGCAAAAAACTCAGCGGACAATTATTTTCGTGAAATTGTTAAAGTTGACTATAACTTCCCCAAATTTCAGTTTTCTTAGTATAAGTTTACTCAGCGCATATTTTTCGCATGTTTGGGCGAGAAGCTGACGTACAACTCCCCACCATGAAGTCAGCTGACTATTATTTTCCGTTTATTTAGATCATAATAAACGTACAAACAAAGTCTCAGCTTTCTTTATGTCGGTTTATTTTTATTATAATTATACGTGTGTGGGTGGCTGCCGCGGCAACACCCACAGTTACCATGGAAAGCTGACGTTCACTTTGTTTATTAGCAGACCGAATTGAACACTAGCCGAAAATCTCAGATTTCTTAAAATAATTCACTTAAAATGGCAGCTGGCTCTCGGATTATAATTTTTATGCATGGTTACTATGGAGTTAAAAATTAGGGGTTTTATGGGATTCTATTGGTGCTCTTAATTAATGAGTGAGTTTGGGGAGAGGGGAATAGATTTTGAGCCCGCGCGAAGCGCGGGCGAAAAATCTAGTATATACAGGGTGCTCCTGAATTCTTGGTACTTTTTTCATATTTAGATAGAGCGAGCCAAACTGAGTCGAAAAGTCATGTACTATTTTGCAATTTTCGCAATAGTTGACGAGTTATTAATGATTAAAAATCGCCGTATTAGCCCGCCCTCCGCCAAATCCTAGCGCGCGGCGAGATGCGGCCGCCCCGCGGTCGGCGCGCGGGCAGTTGTTTATTACAAGCGGCGACGATTTCGCACGAGCGGCGCGTAACGCCGGGCCCCTGTCCTAAGCGATGATAGTTTCTCTTCTTTTTTTAAATAGAAATAAAATTTTCTAACAACATAGAACATTTTTTTGTGCGTACGTATGTACATACGTGTGTACATGCATACAGGAAAATATCAATTGTGCTGCTTAAAAAAGCGATTACTCAATTTACTTTTTTTTTTAGTAAGTAACGGTTGTCTTTAAGAAAGAATATTTTCTTGATAATAGTCTTAAAATGTACAAATTTTAGAAATAGTTTTTATCATGTACTATGTACTCCAAAAGAAGAATTTATACTCCTTCAAAGAACATAATAAAATTTTATCAAAGAAAAGTCAAAATAATAAATAAAGTAATATGAGGACCCTCGAGATTAAAATAGGAGAAGGCTATGAAAGTCAGACTCAGATCACAGTGCGTAATATCAGAAATAAGTGATTTATTCGTCGTTTTGATACATTACATCGATCCGTACGTTTCGGCTCAGTTTTGAGCCATCTTCAGCGGTAGTTACAGAAATTAAGTTACACGTTCTCCGTACCGTATGATGAGTTTACTGATTCAAAGTATCAGAAACATAGACCAATTGATCCATATCTGTAAATTTGTTCAATTAATGTTGAGATATTAAAAAGATCCCTTAAGAAACTCACCATTCGGTCTGAAAAACGTGGAATACAGAGCCATGTATACATAATGAATACTCTCTGCGATAAGACTTGACGATCTTTATAATCAGAGTTTATACATAAATTTTATCTGTACGCGACATTATTAAGATTATGTAAAAATCGACGATCTTAAAAATATCTGTTTTCATGTGTCTTTTAATATTTTTATTGTTAGAAGACATTCTATATACATGCATATATCTTATCTATACATATATAATAACTATCGTAACTATAGTAACTATCGTAATTACAGCTAATATAAAATTATGTTTTGTTCACAGGTTTAATATGTATCTGAAACTATTTATAGTGATGGGAATAACCTGGGTTATGGAGTTAATAGCGTGGTCGATCAATGTCGATTTTGTGCCTGCGATCGTCTGGTCCCCTATCAACATAATAAATGGCTTGCAAGGTGTCATTATTTTCATCATATTCGTGTTTAGAAAGAAAGTCAAGCAGCTGCTACTGAAACGATTCGGTGGACGGAATTGCGGCCCGTTTTGTAAGATTCCAATGAGCAGCGATAGTACGATGAATACCGTTTCCACATCGGGATCAGGAACGCATCCCATGCGAGAGATCAGTTCCTCTAATTAGTAGCTATTATAATAATTTCCAATTAATTCTATTCATAACGCTGCAATATAAAGAAAAAATTTTATAATATTACGGATGAGTTAATTAGTATAGTTAATCTCAGCGCCATAATTTAATTCTCCAATCGAAGATTGATCTTATATTATATTGTAATTCT